GTCTGTTTGAAAAAGTCGTGGGAAACTCAGTCTCTCGGGGGTGTCTGAGTGCACAGGTGGGGAGAGGATTCCCTGCGCGAGGAGGCTAGAGAATCAGCAGGGGCAAAGGGAGCAGCGATGTGGTTTTGTGCATGTGGCTGAGCTTTCAGATGGCTCTGAGTAAATGGATGCAAATCACTTTCATTCCCCATGAAAATAACCATTTGAGTGCATCTGGTGCTTAGCAAAATACCACACTCAGAAACTTGGTCCCAAATGGTTGATTTCACTAACAGCCTGCTTGTGGAAGGCACGCGCCTCAATGGCGGCGTTGTTTCAGGCAGAGCTCTGCGCACCCGGAGGAGTCTACATTTTCTCCTTAGCTGAAAAGCAGGCTTTCTCCTAGCCACTTTCTTCTTGTTTTGTAACATGGGAGAAGTAGGCCCCCGCTTGTTTGATTTCCTGGACAGTGCAATAATGTTTTGTGATATCTGGGTAATGTGTTGATAAAAGGAAAATGCATCCGTGTTCCTCCAGATGTCAGGACAGGGGAGAGGACTTGGTGAAAGCGGAGACAGCTTGAGGCGGTTGCTGCCAAACACCTGTCAGAGCTGGAATCGGGAAGAGGCAGCCCACGTGGACAGGCTTCTGGAGAAGCTAGAGGAGAGACCATGTGCTTGGCAGATATTTAATTTCCGCTAGAAGGAAGGCCTTTGGGAGTGGAGGAGGGTAGAGTGAGGGCCTGGCAGACATTCTAACGTCCTGCCCTGTCGTGCAGGAGCATGCCCGCTTGCTGGAGTCTGTGCTTTGGGCCACTTCCTGTTGTTTCGGCAGTGAAGGTCAAGGGCTTATCTCAAGGTGAACAGAACGGACATAGCCCATCTTTCGAGGTCTTCATCACATCTCTAGGATTTCCATGTGGACTGCCATAGCTTTGTTAGCAACTGCAGTCCTGGATCAGAGGCCTGGTGTTAAACACAGACGTGGTATCTTCTTTTGTTTTGTTTTTAAAAACCATTTATTTATTTGATAGACTTAAAGAGAGAGAAATTTCACTCTGTGATTCCCTGCTAGATGACTACAAAGCTGGTCTGGGCCAGGCTAAAGATAGGAGCCAGGAGCTTCTTCTTCATCTCCTAGGTGAGTGCAGGGGACCAAACGCTGATCATCTTCTGCTATTTTCCTGGCAGAAATGAAATAATTTGTATCTCAACAGGTGGAACAAGATGAAGCAATTTTTGGGCACATTGATTGGCACCTGCTAGGCCCAAAAGCAACCTGGGTTGTGAGAGGATAAGATGGCAGAAGGAAGGTGGATTATACAGGTATTCTGCTGATTCAACCCTTCAGTTGAGTTTTAATCAGTGCCTACTCTGTGCACTGGGCATATGAGCATATGTGAGTCGTTCTGATCCTGGTGCAGGAATTCTGCTGACCACGGGGTCTGCTCTCTCTAACAGCAAGAGAAGTGCCACTGCCGTGGGGGCAGGAGGCCACGAGACCACAGCTGGGCTTTCAACCAGCAGCTACCTGCGCCCCGCCAAGTCCTGGGGAACAGAGCTACTGCCTTTTACTCACTTGTACGTTTCTAGGGTCCAGCACAGTGAGAATTCCAAAGGTTAGCTGGAGTGCTAAATGGGTGAAACAAGGAATACATGCAACAAGCAAGGCGCGGGGAGTGTGGAATTCAGCGGCCCGAATGAGGGAAGGGGCTGGGCTTGACAGGCAGGGGGTGCGTGAGCAGAAACCGAGCTCCGAGGCTTAGTCTAATTGAGGGATAATTGCAGTTGGAATGAGCCGCTCCATCTGGCTCTTTGCTGAAAGTCTGGGTGCTTCATTTCAGCTAATTTCCACAACTATCCTTAGAGATAAGGCCTGGCTTCGGAATCCTATTTATTTTGACATAAGCACATGTAGGTAAAATTTGACTAACTGCAAAATTATGGTCATGTAGATGGTGATTAGTGCTGCAATGGTCTTGTGATTCTTTGAACACATCTCTTCTCCCCTGTTGTCCCCTTATTAGCAACTTCAACCTGAAGTTTGTATCTTTCATGGTCCTCTCTGTGCAGACATATAATCCTAAACGGATGTTTGCATGTATATGCACATGTACATACACATGTACATATAAGACATATGTGTTTGGGGCCTTGGGTCAAGAAACTGTGGCCATCTTACACTTTTAAAAGCTACACCCTGGTTTTCTCAACCAACAATCAATTCCTGATGGAAGTACTCCTTCCAAGTCATGCAGAATAGTTCTAATTTAGGGGGACAAACTCTAGCCTGTATCTATTTTGGTAAGTAGAGTCTTATTGGAACCCAGCTGTGCTTGCTTTATTTATAGATTTGTTATGGTTGTCACATTGAAACAGTGAACTTGAGTGGTGCCAATGGAGACTCATCCACAAGTCCACTTACTAGTTGGTCCATAACAGAAATGTGAATGAACCTTTGTAATGCCTCAGTGCCGTTGCAGGGTTTTGCTAGAATGTAATTCAGCCCGACGAGGGGGAAATCTCAGGTGTATTTTGCCATTAATAAGTCATATCATATTAGAATGTGCTTGGTGCCCAGTGGTTGTGTGGGCACCCCCTAGGGAGTGGCTGACTTGAGTCCCAGGTTTGGGTCCCGACTCTGTGCCCATGTGCACCCTGCCAGGCCGCAGCTGATGACTCTGGTATTTGGGTCCTTGCCAAACATGTGAGACTTGAATTGAGTTCCCACCCCCAGCTCTGGCCTGCCCCAGCTGCAGGCGTACTTGGGGATTGAGCTAACAGAATTTAGGTCTCTCTGTCTCTAAAGATGCAAGATTTAAAAGGTAAAGCAGACTCTGACAAACATGAATGCATCTGTATCCTTATGAAGTGTCAGTTTCATCTCATCTAGCTCCTGAACTTCAGTTAACTAAGTTTTTAAACTCAAGAAAGGGATTGCTGAAATAGAGTGTAATTGCTTATTTATTGTAATATATTTTGCTATTATTTCCTTCCAGAATTCTGAAGTACTTTTTATTTGTGATATGATTTTATCTATGATAGTAGTGGGACATCTCATGGAGGAGGAATTAAGGCTTCACCATCAGTTAAGTGCCGCTGGAAATCACGTATTAGAACTCATTTAGGCCTGGTTAAGAATAGACCTATGTGTAACCCTGCTGTTCACTACTGGGAGAGGTGGAGCACTGAAAGGCAGAAGCTAGGTCTTACTTCCTTGGTGGGCTCCTGAGGTGACACTGGTAACAGAGGGAACTATCCATCCATCCATCCATCCATCCACCCATCCATCCATCCATCTATCCATCCATTCATCTACTTATTCATCCATTCACTCATCCACCCAACCACCTATCCACCTCTCCACCTATCCATCCATCCCTCCACTCTCCCTCCATCCATCCATCCATCCATCCAACCACCTATCCATCCATCTCTCCATTCTTCTTTCCATCCTTTCATCCACTCATCCTATATTTACTTAGCCTCTGGAGGTTCTTGCTCTGTTATGGGGGACACAGAAAATAAAGATTTACTCCCTGTTCTCCAGGAGTCCTGATCTGTTGTATGGAGGCAGGCTAGTTTAGCATTTCCTCGGAACAGTAGCTTGGTTTGAGGAAGAATATTCAGTGAGGTATTGAGGAAATGTTCCTGTTCCTGGCAAGGGAGCAATCCAAGGGGAGCGTGTGGAGAAAGAGATTCCCTAGTGCGCTCCTGAAGGGACGGTAGGTGTTAACCAGAGGAGAAGTAGTGAGAGTCCTTGGGCAGGGAGCAGGTGGAAGTAGCCACACCACATGGTACAGTCACACTGGGATGTGGAATAGGCCGAGCATCCCGCTCACAAGTGTGGCTGTTTGCCTGAGGATACTTAACTCTTTGTAAGTTTTCCTGACCCCTGCAGGAAGTGAAACAGTTGATGTGTGAGCTTTGTTGATGTTGTCCTCTGGATCTGCAAGATGTTATTGTGGGTCATGTGTGGTGTGCAGCTTGCTTCAGGATAATGCCCCATTGAGTTCAGGCGACACATCGAGGAGCATCCTGTATGACAGTGAGGTTGTTAGCCCATGCAGGGATTTTTCTAGGCCAGGGAAGCCTACGTTCTCAGAACTGAAGTCACTTGAAGATAGAAGGAACAAGCCTTTGGTAAGCTTCTGTCCAGGAAAGGCCCTAATCAGCCACAGTGCAGGCAGTCAAGCAACACAGGTGGCTCGGAGAGCCCTCGGCTGCAGGCCTGTGAGGCCCACTTAGTCCCACTTAGTCCTGCTTAGGCCTGTGGCTGCATGTCTTCTGGTGTGTTGGGGAGCCCTTACTCTGCCTCCCAGCCTGCCTGCTGCCAGCATTGCAGGCAAGCATTGTCCTGCATTGTTTGGGGACCTCAAGCCAGCCTCCAGCCTTGCTGGGCTCTCTAGGCTACCCCTTACAATGACAGTGACCATGAATGTGGACATAGCATCCTTGTTGAGTGGGCTTCATACAGCCTGACTTTATCCATGGCTTGAGAGAGGCAGGCATTTCTGGAAGGTCAGTGTCCAGTAGAGCAGAAGTGCCCTGACTTTGCAATTCTGTGGAGTAATTTCTAGTTATTTTATTTATTGTAAAAAAATAGTGTAAAAGAGTATGTGATGTTTTAATTCCACATCTTGGGTTTCCCTGCTACTCTAAATTTCCAGGTTTCTAATTCTAACCGTGCCCAGTATGTGCTTGTTCCTGTACCCACTGCTGCGGGCCTGGGCAGTGCCCCCTCCCCTTCCCTTTCATTCCTTTCATTTCCATCCCCTCCCCAAATCAGAGCCAAATCAGAGGAGGTGTGTCCAAGGCAACTCAAGGCATGTTGCTGGCAGAATGTACAATGGATTCTACCCTGGGCATCACCACTGGAAATGCTTCTGGATTGGCAGGGGTGGGGTGGGGTTGTGGGGCAGGCCAGCTCCCTGGTGCTGGGGCCCTGTGTTCTCCCAGTGTCTGCTTGGTTGGTCTCAGCCCAGTGTTACTTACGCACCACTCTCTTCCACTTGCCTGCAGCTGCAGATGAAGATGAGCGAGCGAGCCGCCTCACTGAGCACCATGGTGCCCCTGCCCCGCAGTGCCTACTGGCAGCACATCACGCGGCAGCACAGCACTGGACAGCTCTACCACCTGCAGGGTAAGTTTGGGACTCCATGTAGGGAGGGGGCGGTCCTGGGGATGGGGTCAGCATGGGTGCCTGTGGGGGACAGCTCTGGGGATGGGGACAGCTTGGGTGACTGCTGCTGTCCTGGTCCTGCTGCCAAGCCCCTCCTCCTGAGGCCAGGCTCCTCTCTAGAGTCTGACTCGCAAACCTTTGCCACCTGTTACCATGATCCAGGGAAGTTGTTGGAAAGGCAGGTTCTTAGGCTCTTCCTTGCAGAGATTCTGGGCCACAGCGTGGAGGAGATGGCTGAGCAGCCTACACTCGCAGCAAACCCAACACTGGGTCAAGGCCGGGTTACCTGCAAGTCTGCCAAAGGTGAACCCTGCTGGCTCCTGTTCAGTCCCACAGAGCTGGAGCCCGGAGAGTGGACCAGCCAGCAGTGCCTTAAGAAGCCTTCAGGGAATTCTTTTGAATGCTCACACATAGGAAGCTCTGTCTCAATGAGAGGGTCTGCGCTCCCTGTGTGAGATCAGCATTAATAAGCCCTTGGGAACCTAGGGGGAAAAAGTCTCCAAAGGAGGATGTAGGGCTAGGCAGGGAGGATGATTTTTTAAGCTGTCCTTGTTGTTTAAAATGTGCATTTTGATGTTTTGATGAAAGAATCACTTGTGTGTGTACACTTTATAGATCCATGACTAATACAGCAGGCACACCATGTGGGGAGGCCTTGTGGGGAGGGGGACGAGAGTCTGCACTCCTCTTTGTAAGCTGAGCTTTGCTGAATCAACAAGCGCAAGCATGCATGAATGAGCACAGAACCTAGTGGCCCCGCCTCCAGGCCTCCTCCGTGCTGCTCACAGCAGCTTCCTCTTAGTCCCCCCTTCTGATCCTCTGTTCCTCTGGCTTGGCTCACAGTGCTGTGTCCACCGCCCACTCCCCTCCCCCGGCCCAGGGAACTCCTGCCCCCTCCCCCCATCTCACCTCCAGACTTGCTCATCCCTCAAATGGCCGTGTTGATCATGCTCACCTCCAAGGTGAAGATCAGGATCCCGTGTCACTCGTGTGGCCACCGACTCAGGCCTGGCACTTGCAGGAAGCAGTGACAGTCAGGAGGGCAGGAGAGTTGCGGCTGTGGCCCTTGCATTCATGCCATAGTCCGCTGCTTGCACAGAGCCGGTCTCTTGGCGTTCACGGGGAGCGCATTGTGTTACTGTGGTGCCAATGCTGTTTACATTCTGCTCTGATTCCATCTGTTCACGTGTGGCCTGCAGCAGACCCTGCACACGCCTCCTCGGTGTCCGGCTGAGTTGTGATGCAGTGACCTTCCCTTAAAGAGCTGGGTTAGGAGGGGTTGTTGTGAATGCAACTTATTCCCGTTTCAACTTGGCAAGATGTTGTAATTTTTGCAATAGCATTTTTGTCATACTTAGGACTTAGACTCTCATTGTAATAGTTACTACTTGCAGAAATAGGTATAAAACATTCATTATTTAAATAATTTTCAAGTTTATTCAATTTCTTATTTAAATATTTATTCTTTTTAAAGACTTATGTATTTTCACTGGAAACACAGATTTGCAGTTTGTTCACTTCCCCAAATGACCACACCAGCTGGAACTGAGCTGATCTGAAGCCGGGAGCCAAGAGTCCCATTGGGGTCTCCCGTGTGGGTGCAGGATCCCAAGGCTTTGGGCCGTCCTCCCGTGCTTTTCCCGGCCACAGGCAGGGAGCTGGAAGGGCAGTGGGGCAGCCGGGACATGAACCAGCGCCCACATGTTTACCGGAGGATTAGCCATGGCCCCCATTAATGTTTAATACAAACATTTCTCATTGCTTCTATTTTAATTACTAGTTATACTTTTTAAATAGACTGTAACGTAAATAATAATCATGGAAGGTAGAAGATGTTTCCAGGCTACCTATGTAACATCGTCTTTCTTATCAAGGCTGGTTGTCTGCATAACCAGAATATGGGAACGTGAATTCATCTACTCCCAGAAACAAGGAAATCGGGGCAGGGAGGGAGGGACTGGAAGATCTGTGTGCTTGTGTCGCTGGTGTCCCCGGATGGTGTTGCCTCTGTTACTACCAGGACAGATCCCACACCGGCTTTTCTTGGCAGTGCTGCAGGTTAACCTCAGAAATGACACTGATTCTCTTCTAGGCGTGGTCTGAATTAATTGGTGAAACAGTATTTGAGGGCCCGGCGGTGTGGCCTAGAGGCTAAAGTCCTCGCCTTGAACACGCCAGGATTCCATATGGGTGCCGGTTCTAATCCCGGCAGCTCCACTTCCCATCCAGCTTCCTGCTTGTGGCCTGGGAAAGCAGTGGAGAACGGCCCAAAGCCTTGGGACCCTGCACCCACGCGGGAGGCCCAGAAGAGCTCCTGGTTCCGGATCGGTTCAGTTCCGGACATTGTGGCCATTTGGGGAGTGGGTCAGTGGATGGGGAATCTTTCTGTTTGTATCTCCTTCTCTCTGTAAATCTGATTTTCTGATAAAATAAATCTTGAAAAAAAAAAAAAGTTTATCTCCTCCAAGTTAGTCCTAGACTGCCACCTGCTGGTTGGTGATGAAGTCATCACTGTCTTACAGCTGAGTTTTAACCCTGCCGAATCCGTTCATCTTCCTTCACCATCTCTCCTACTGTGCTTTCCAGTTTAATAGCGATGCCCCTCTGCAGAGCTGCAGCACGAGGGCGATGTGTCGTGAAAGTGGAGAACTGGTGACAGAGAGGTGTTCAGGAAGCCGTGTTGAACACTGTCCTATGCATAGCACGCTTTTCAGCATGCGCTGGATAAATTAGCAAGAGTGTTGTTTGCCCATGTTCTGTGGAGAGCTGTTCCTAAAGTATGTCCTCTTTGCCCTCTGAAAACAGATGTATCAGGCAAGTTTGGGGAAAGTGGTACATGCTAACCCCTCTCCTTAATCAGAAGGCAAGTCTTTCCGACAGGTGCTGGGATGGCCTGGAGCAGAGAATGCCTGGCCTCTGGTCTACCTCTCACTTGTTTGGGCCCAGAGCCTTCTGTTCTCTGTAGAAGCGCAATGACAGGCTCCAGGGGAAGTGCTGAGAGCCCTGGCCTGTTTCTGCAAAGAGAGGCCTCTTCAGTGAGGGTCTGCCATAATGCCGTTCTTGCAGGCGGGCCATACCTTCCATGAGGACATTGTGTGCCCCAACTCTGCTCCCGATCCCGGCTTCCAGCTCAAATGCTTCCTGGGAGGCAGCAGTGACAGTTCGAGTACATGGGTCCCTGCCATCCAGGGGAGACAGGCCTGAGTGCCATGCTTCATCCTGATCTGGCCTGGTCCCAGCCGTTACAGGCATTTGAAGGGTGGCAGTGTTGGGAATTTGCCGTGAAAGACAACAGCAAAATCATTTCTGGTCTCACAGGAAAGAAGAATTTTCATGAGGACAATTTCACTGTGCAAAGCAAAGCTGATTTAAGAGAGAGAGGTCTCCTGTCCTAGTGATAGGAGGGGTAGAAAAGGAACAGACCTGAGAGAATGGTGGAGATGGAGTGTGTTAGGCACCGTCTCAGGGAGGGGACAAATGGACCAATCAAAGCATGAACAAACGAACGAAAAGGGGGTGACGGGGTGGGGACTCCTTCACAATGGGCAGCAATGTGTAGCTCCTTGTTCAGAACAAAAAGGATTCCAGAGGGTGGGACTGGTGGCTTCCTCCTCTGATGGCCCCTTCTCCTTGACAGGAACTCAGAGCTGGGGTTGGTGTGCGCTCTGTCTCCTGGCTTTCGTCGTGATGACAACTCAGGGTAATGGCAACTAGGTAAAAAATGGAGAGAAGTGAGATTTTACATTTTCAAACAGTGACTTCGCCAGGGCCTAGAGACCCTCATTACCTCTTAGCCCGTCTAACTCTGCACAGTAGACAGGGTATCTCGCTTTGTCTGCCTCTGCGCCTACCTCTGTCTCTCCCTTTCAAACCTGTAGAAGTAATTGCACATTTTAAATACAAACAGCATTTAAATGTTACTTTCATGGGATACACTGTATATTTTGCATAGAAACCTCCTGTCTGATCTCTGTGGATCTCAGTGCAGCTGCCTGAGACAACTGGAATGCTCATTTGCACCAAGAAACGGAACATTTCAGGGGCTGGTTACATGTTCTGTTACATGATCCTCAGGAAGGACCTAAGGCGTCTTCATCTCTCCTTTATCCACCCACTCATTCATTTTCTTGGCCAGTGTTTATGCTGTGTCTTGGTAGGTGACCAACGTGCACAGGACTAGGCACCAGGCGTTCTTCCCGCCTAAGGCTTTGCAGTTGAACGAGACGTGTAGTCGGTTGTTAAGCAGATCTGCTTAATATCAAGTTTGGTTCCTGTAACATTGGAGACAAAATGGCTTATAATTAAGAGGAAGTCGGGCCAAGCTGCTGGTTTTAGGAAAATGATGACAAAGGAATTTCCTTAGATGGGACATTTGCTGGAAGCTTCCATGTTTACTCGGAGACCTTAAGTCTGGAACAGGCAGCCGTAGTGAGAGCGAAGGGAATACTTGCATGGAGGCATCAGCAGATGCAGTGTCCTGAGGCATTCAGACAAAGAGGAAGCAGCAGGGAGTGAGGAGACAGCTAGGTGGGTGCCTCAGGTGCTGGAGGTGTGAGGGGAAGCCCTGGGGGTCCAAAGCCTGGCAGTGGCAGATTGGGGGCATCTTTCAGATCAAGTGTTTGTAAGGGAACAAGCAGCCAAACAGGAAGTCAGGCCCCCCCCCCTTTCACGTGAGCTTGGGGGTGTGGCCTCAGCCTGCTGCTCCCCTGATTCCCTGACGTCTTAGAAACATTTGCCCCCTGCCCAGGATGCTCTGTTGCTGCAATGCTTTCACAGCCCTCTGCTGGCATCGCTCTGAAAGGTAGCATCACTTGTTTCAGAACGAAACCAAGGAAAAGTGGGCACCCGTGTCATCAAACAGCTAGGAAATTGGAGAGGGCACTGTGTGTGTGTGCCTGGCATCTTCCACCTTGCCTTAATGGGTTCTCTTGGCAGCAATTTGGGCAGTCGCCCTTGAATTGCAATGCCTGCTCAAGGTCACGAGGCCAGCGGGCGGGAGACTGCAGGTGCAGAGCTCTTTGATCCATTGGATGAGCTTACCTGTAGAGGAAGTCTGGGCCCTCCCACAAGGAGAAGTGGTCTGACGGTGCCTGGCCTGGCAGTGAAATGCCTCCCGAGCTCCCATCTCTAGGCCATGAGGCCTCCATGCTGAATTTGAGGATTCTAGCAGCAGGTGGCAACTTTGGAGAAACTAACATTACTCCTTCCAGACAGTATCAGGTCGCAGATGTGGCCCACGCCGAGCCAGCTTGCCCCCTTTGTATGAGGGACATCCTTCCATTACTGTCCTGTGCTTCAGCGACACAGCCATCCACCCAGCCCTCATGGCAGGAGCCGTTTCCGTGGTGTCAGCACCCCATGGATGCAGCCAGCTGCTGTTCTTGAAAACTCAGGGAGTTTAAGAAGTTATTGTGAAAGTGCAGGTGACGGCTGTGCACCTGCTGTGCACCTGACGGAAGGTTTTGGGTTTGCACTGACACGACTGTGCTCTGTTTCCTGCAGGGAATTTGTCCAAACTTTATTAAAGACTTGGATTTTTTTAGAAGACTACTCCCACCCATTATTGCTGATTCTGTGTATGAGGGTGGGGAATGCCTGGCCTGCAGGCCATGGAAGGCTGGAAAGATCATTGGTCTGACCCCCAAGGCAATCACAGGCAGGATTGGGAAATCTACTAACTTACGTTCATTTCTTTTCCTTTTTGTGTTTTTAAGATATATATATGTGTGTGTATATATATATATTTTATTGCAAAGTCAGATATCTATAGAGAGGAGGAGAGACAGAGGAAGACTTTCCCTCTGATGATTCACTCCCCAAGTGACTGCTATGGCCGGAGCTGAACCAATCTGAAGCCAGGAGCCAGGCGCACTTCCAGGTCTCCCACACGGGTACAGGGTCCCAGGCTTTGGGCCGTCCTCGACTGCTTCCCCAGCGCCACAAGCAGAGAGCTGGATGGGAAGTGGAGCAGCCGGGATACAAACTGGCGCCATACGGGATCCCGGTGCATTCAAGTTGAGGACTTGAGCTGCTAGGCCACCAGGCCAGGCCTTTAGGTTCATTTCTAACTTGATGATTTTTTTATTGCCTGTGAAAACTGTTTCAAATAGCCAAAGGCCCTTGACACCTCTACTCTGCACCAGTGTGTGTGTGTGTGTGTGTGTGTGTGTGTGTGTGTGTGTGTGCGCACTAGCATGCGGTGCTAAACAGAGAATGGAATTTATCTTCAAACTGGGAGCTTGGAAGAGATGATTTTTAGTCACTTGGAATATTTTATGTTGAAGACTTTTAATCCTAATCACCGCCTCTGTGCCTGGCACCTGTGTGACTGGTTGGTGGTTCCTTTTTTTGTGTGTGGCTTGGGTTAGAGGCTTGTGACGATCCCCACCCGGCGTCCCCTGTGGCCTGCTTTGGGTCTGGGGCCTGAGTAGCTTCCGGGAGACCACACCAGTCTGAAGGCTTTAACAGCAGGGCCGGGAGGGAAAAGTTGATGTTTACTCGCCATCCTGTGGAAACCAGCGAGGGGTCAACAATGCATTTTTCTGTTCCTGATTTGTGTCAGGAAGGTCAGGTGGGAGTGGGCTGTGGTCACAGCTGTTTGTGACAGCACAAGAGAAGGCCAACATAGGCCATGCCACCAAGGTCCCCTAATTGAAAACAATCTGCTTGGGCACGCAGGTGGACCAGCACATATGCTCCACTTGGCTTCAGTGTCTCTCCAGGTCTAACCACACTTTGATCTTTGCATTTGGTTATGAAAGAATGGGGACGGGGCAATATGAGTGGAAAGCTGCCATGGTAACCCAGATCCAGTTGATGTCCCCACCAGAATTAGATCCAGGAGGCTGCAACTATGGACGCGGCCAGCAGATGGCAGTCAAACATCTCTGTTTCATAAAATCAAGGGTGCAGCACTACAAAGAGGACCCACCCTGGCTTGTGGGCGTGAGTTAGCCCGCTGTGTTTCTGAATAAAGTTTTATTGGAACAGTCCTGCCCATTTGTCACTTACTACCTGTGGCTGCTTTGAGCTGTTTGCTAATCACTGTGTTATATCACAAAAGGGCCAGTAGTGTTCTTGTGTGTTGTCTTTGTGACTTTCTTGGTGTTGCTTTATTTGGAAGCTAAATCTGAAATAATAAATGCCAAGTGGAGTTTGTCAGCCCTTGTTGGGGTGGGCATTGTGCAGCAGACAGGCCACATCTCCTCTCTGCTAGCGTCCAGCTCCCTGCTAACACACCTGTGCAAAAGAGGATCTCCTTCCACTGTTTCAACAAGATGGCTTAGTGGAAGCATATCCTACTTCTGACCCGTTTTCCAAAGACTATCCAAACCATAAATTCTCCTAGTCTAGTGTTACACAGTTTCATTTCCCCAGACACCGTGAATGAAGGAGTTGGTACAGTGAAGGATTAGGGACCGTGGCTCAGGGTGTAGGTCACCTGCACACGGCACGTTCGCCATGCTCTCAGGGCTGTCACTGGCCTGTCTCCAGACAAAGGTCTGCGTATGTCAAGGATCCGTTTTCTAGAAACACGTTCTTGGCTAATTTGTGGGTTTTCCTGGAAGTTAACTGTTGCTTTTGTATTCCTTTTGGGAAAGGTGTCGGCAGTCCCCTGAAGCTACACAGAACGGAAACTTTCCCCGCCTACCGATCTGAGGACTGACAGCACCGAGGAGCGCCAGGTCACTCAGGTGCATCGGCTAAGCGGAGGTCACGGAGCGACAGCAAGAGAAGCCACGACCGAGGGAAGCGGCCTCAAGTCCTGGCTAATTGTGTGGCCATCGGGAAACTCTGCAATACAGTCTGGTGGTTTTTTGTTTTTTGTTTTTTTTACGTGTTAGCGTAATTGCAACGTGCTCTATAGATACCGACTTGGTGATCGTCTCTCGCAGCTGGGGCGAACGGAGTCAATGCGACAAAATGGTTTTCTGTTGTAGATGCCGTGTCCCCCGCGCTGCTCGGACTCTGTCCTTTTGTGGATTCTTGCGGTTTTCCTTCTGAGTGTTTCAGCTGTACCACAGTCAGTATTGACAATAAAATGGCTCTTAATTATTGGTTATTTCTTTACACCATGTTCCAATTATTAGTCCCCTGGTCCCGGTTATCTACCAGAAATCACCCTCGATTCTGTTGTCAGAGAGCTACACCCAGTGCTGCGACTCACTTTGACCGGTAAATACTCACAACTCCCCCCAAACGACCCCTGTCTCCTCCCCCGTGTGGCTCACTGGCTTCCGGCTTCTCTCTCATCCTCCGCCTCCCCTGTCCTTCTCTAGAAAGCGTGCTTTTGTTCCACAAAGCTTCATAAGACGTCTTAAAATAAAGCACCATTCTTCACCACACAGTCTTTGGATTCTGACACTGTGGTTTCCCTCTAATCCTCTGCCTTTCTGAAAAGTGAGTGGAAGTCCCCCTCGGGAGCTGTGAGCAAGGTTCTGCGTTATGTCCAAAATGAATCCAGCCACTGGCCACGTTTGCTCACTCGTTCATTAAGCCCCAGCTGTGATGCACCCCTACCAGTTCCAGGGCAGTGCTGGAGGCCAGCAGTACAGAGAGTAAAAGCACACCCACCTTGCTTGCCAAGGAGCTTCCTACCAGAGGAGTGCAGACAAGGAAAGAGAGTCGTAGTTACAATACAGAGTGATACTTGCTGGACAGGCCCGAGGGGCAGCGGGCTGGTGTCTAAAAGGAAGGTCACTTGTTCCCCAGGCTTCCTCACTGTGGGAGTGCAGATGAGAATTGAATCTTGTGAGCTTCTGAAGTTAGAGTTGCTGGAAGTCCGTGTCATGGAGCAGGGGCAGTGTCCATCTCTGTCGCTGGTAAGCATGCCAGGTAAAATACAGGATCAGGACGGGCCTGGGTGGCAGCAGAGAACGGCTCAAGTCCTTTGGTCCCTGCACCCATGTGGAAGACCCAGGGAGACCTCTTGACTTGGGGCTGAAGGTACTGTGGGTCTTTGGTGAACCAGCAGGTGGAAGACCTTTCTCTGCCTCTCAAATGAATAAAAAGAAATAGACACACATGATCATGGAGATCGACACCCCTGTGTCTAATGAATGGAACCTGATGGAAATCAGGTGTGCCGAGCCCCATCGCTTGGATCAGAGTCCGCTGGGATTCCACAGACCATGCTGGTCAAGAGGTCTTTTACGCATGGGTTGAGACACACTGCAAAAAGCAGGATTAAGTTCAGCTAACAATTAATTAGTGGACCAGGGATTTGTAAGTGGTCTAGTGCTCGTAGCTGCAGGGACCGTGTCTTCTCTCCTTGCCCCCCGCCGGCTCTCACGGCATGCACAGTCATCCCGCCTCCCCAGGTGTGCAGCTTTTCATCCTGAGAAATTGGCTCTGCCACGCACACTTGCCAGTGCACTCACTGTTCACTTTCTAGGCTTGATCTTGTCCTTATTTGCTGTCTCTTTTAAAACTGTCTTATAAGAGACGCTCCCTCGTTCCCGGGGGCCTTGCAGCCAAAAGGGGAATTCGTTGGAAAAAAATAGAAATGGAATTAAAGAAATAATGATAATGTTAATGAAGTCAAAATTGCTGAAGCAAGTCTCAAGCTAATGAGTGTGCCAAGAAATGTTGCTGAATGCAGTTATAACTACAAGTGAGAAGCTCTTTTAGGAGTTTAAGGAAAAGACATAATAACAGGAGAGTTCTGTGAGATTTTCTAACAGCTTTTGTTCATTGCAGAGCACAATTCTTAGGGCTTTAGCTGCGTTATTTAATTCCCACAGCGGAGCCGTGAGTATCAGTATCATCTCCATTCTACAGATGGGGAAACAGCCTGAAGGACCCTGAATAATTAATACGCGCAACATCTGTTTCCTGCTGTGTAAGAAACTCACCTTTGAACCCAGGCAGCAGTTGTTTCCTGAGTTTGCCCTGTAAATGTGTGAGACACAGGGCTCCGGGCAGAGTAAGCTTGTTGTGGAAAGGCTTTGCGGGCCCTGTGGCCTCCGGAATGCGAGAGTGGCCACAGATGGCACCTAAGCAGACAGGAGGTGTGACATTTCAACAAAACTCTGTACAGGAACCAACGGCAGTCTGGATCCCTCCACAGGTGCATTTTAGAACACTTGTTCTAGGTTTCATGAACCTCAAACACTGTATTAGTTTCACATAGAAATGGAAGCACTCCCATCTCCAGCCTTCAATGAGGAAAATGGTGATTTGAGATGATTTTGAATGTTTTGTTCCAAATCTCCAACCTCCACAGTAAACACTTAAGCAGTGTGAGATACCGTGGCTTTGTACATGGTTTGAACCAAACACTCAACATTCGTGCCACTCCTGCAAATCGCCTGAGCCCAGAGGCCACACTCCGGGGGTGAGTTGGGAAGCGCTGATGAACTCGAGACATTTCCGACATATCCCTAGGTGCCGTCTGGGCCCAGGGGAGGGGGATGCGCTCCAGTGCCAGGCAGAACTGGGCAGCGGCTACTCAAGTGCCCTCTGCAGTTCGGAAATCCACTGGTTGTTTTCTAAGTATTTCATGTCAGATGTGGATATGTCAGCAGCATCCCTGCCTTTCAGAAGGCTGGCTGCAGGCTCGAGGTATTTCAGCCAACTGCACCAGAACCACAAAGCTGAAGACAACAGAGGTGTTCCGTTCAACCAAGAGCTTTCACTATTTCTTCTTGAGACAGTTTCGATTTTTGAGAAAATCATCTTTCCTTTTGACACAACCCCCCCAAAAAAGTGTTCCCAGATTTCTGTGAAGCAAGCAAATCTGACACCTCCCCCTTCCAATTGAAGTTTTGCATTCCGTAGTTTAAATGGTGGTTCAGACTGCCTGTTTCTGATGGAGTTCAGCCTTCAGATGCTTTCAATGTGAACTGGTTGCAATCTACCCTGATTAGCTTCAGCCAAGGCCGGGCCCTGTGCGTACTACGCCAGGTCCTGTTTTCTTCCCCCTAGCCTTCAGCTCGCAGATCTCAGACGCTGTTGGCACCTGTCTCAGCAGATCTGAGCAGGGGCTCGGGACCTGCATGTTTAATCAGATTCTCTAGGTAAATTCAAAATGCGTTTGGTAGGTGGCACAAAACCTCGCTCTGAGAAACCCTGAGGTAATAGCCGTGCAGCCGGCCCCTCAGGTAAGTGTTGACACCTGGCGGCCAGCGTCACGGTATATAAGATACCTGCGCCAGGCCGCCGGAAGCACCACGCCGGCCGGAAGCACCAGGCCGGAAGCGCCACGCCGGCCGGAAGCACCACGGTTCGCGGCGGGCGGACGGGGCAGACACTTTCCTGGCGCGCAGCAAGAATGTGGGCGTCCTGGCACGAAGGTAAGACCGCGACCCTGTGTGTCACACACAGGACGCGAGAAGTGTGTGACTGTAGCTCCGAAAGTGGGTTTTCTCTTGGCTTTGTGTGTGTGTCTGAGGTATTTTTTTTGCTGTTACTGTAACAACTAATAAGGAGATTGCGTTTGACTTTCTTTTTTTCTCGGAGATGCCTGAAGTGCAAGGGCTTCGCCTGTTCTTTTTAATGGGGGGAAATTCGGGCAGGAGTTGCTTGTGAACGCAAAGCAGAGTCTCCAAGAGACAGGCAGCAGGAGCAAAGAAGCAGGGAGGGAGCCGGCTGCTACTGCTAACGAGGCCGGTGATGCTGAGGGGGAGCCGGCCGCGGGTCTGCCCCCCTGGCTCCTTTCCCCAGCCCCCTGCAGCACCACCTTCACTAGCTTTGGCCTTGGGAAATGCTGTGTTCTCTCCCCTTCCAAAACAGAAGATAAGTTAGGGACGGAGGTCCTTAGACCTAGAGGGAGTCTGACGGATCTGTCAGGGCGGAGATGGCCTCGGACCACTTCCACATAGCGGGGTGGCCGGCTAAAGTGTACGGAACTGGGATTTTCTGCATCTTAGCCCTGGGAGATGGGGGAAGAGGAGGTAGCATGGGCGGTCCTTGCTGTGCGCATGCGCTTGCTGAGTAGCTTGGGCACGGGTCATGGCGGGTGCTGGCCTTCTGCACGGAGATGAGGCGAGGTCGCGAAAGTGCATTCCAAACTTGCCGAAATGCGAGTGAGTGTCTGCTTGAAGGCAGTGGCTTCAGCAGGGTGGCCATCACGGGTCCTCTCTGCTGCTTGCTGAGGGCCTCCCTGTTGTTCATATTCGCTGGTTTACAAAACTCCTAGCAGGAGGACTGTGGTGGTCTAGTGTCGAGTTTGGACCAAATATGTATTTCTAGGTTCTAGCCTTTACTTGAAAAGCATTTTAAGCCAGGGCGCCAACATAGCTTAAACAAGTGATAAAGTACATGGAAAGCAAAAGGGTGAAAGGGAGAGATTGCTGTTATTTTGTTCCTAGAGTCCGTCCGCAGGAGGCAAGCACGTGCTGGGTGTGGGGACCAGGAGGTCGGGAGCCCAGGCTAAGGGTGCGAGGCAAGCAGAGAAAGAAGTTAGGAGGCACGTGGCCCCAAGGGGCCTCCCTGGTGCACAGGTGCGCAGATAGCACTGTACAGGCAGGGAAGGTGCAGCTGCGACTAGGACCCCGCGCTAGCTGCCTAGACCACATTCGGACCACAGTTCAGGGGCTTCCCCAGGAGGTAAGCACCATCTCTAGACCAACTCCATAGTGAGACAAAAGGGGGAAGTCCCTGAACGTCTCAGGCTGGTCCTGCGGCTGAAACCACTCTGCTCCCTGCTCTGGTAAGCAATGTTTAATCAGCACACGATTGGTCCTGCCTGTTTGTCTCACCTGTGATGGCTTTTGTGCTGTGGCAGCCGAGCTCATTCCCTGCCACAAACACCGTTTGCGTGGCAGGTCTGTGGTACTCTGCTCTGTAGGACACCGTTTGGCCGCCGGGACCCCAGTGTGTTGCACATCTCGCTGGTATTGGCTGTGGAATTTGCAGGCTCCAAGGGCCGGTCGCTTTAGCTGTGAGCAAGGCCTGCTGCCGCCCACCACACGAGTCACTGCTTTCTGCGATGCTGTTGCCTTTCTCCAAGCTACCAAAAGTGTTAAAGCTTCAGACTTCAGTTTGGATTCCAAGGGCTCAGAGGTTCTGCCTGAGACCCCCAGGCCAGCGGCAGCTGGCAGCTGATGACATTATCACTGTCTTCCCTATTATGGTTTGACAGATTAACCCCCTCCCCGTTTGCTCCTTCAACCATTTCTTCCACACATCTTCAGCATCAGGCACAATTCCCGCGTTTTGCCACGGAAGTGTATCGTGGCTTTG